CAGTAGGGGGCGCTCTCCCCTCTGAGGCAGGGCTGACCCCAGTGCCCTAGCACAGTGCTGGACTCAAGGCCCAGACTGGTGGCTCACCTCGCCCACTGAAATGCAGCTACCTCTGGAGTGCAGTTAACCGCAGCTCCACACAGCAGCGAAGAGGGATCCCAGCTGAAAGTGCAGGCGGGACAGGGGGAGGCAGAACATAAGTGCCCGAGCTGGGATTTTGCCCGGACGGCAGGATTCACTCCCCAACCGCGGGGCTTAGACGTTGGTGCCCCTCCATCCTGCCCCTCATGCCGTACCAGTCCTGCCCAAGTTATCTGGTTCCGAGCCGCTAGGGCTCGTGCGCTGCGGGGATGCTTTTGGCTGGGGTCGTCGCGCCGGAAGCTGCCGATTCCAGATGGCAGAGGCCCGCAGAGATGCTCATACGGAGGAGGTGCAGCCGGCGGGCAGAGCGACGGCTGGTCCTCTGCTCAGTAATCACCCTGGCGAATAGAGGCCCACAGAACCACTCTGCAGGAGCAAACCGCTGGGCTACGGCAGGGGCTTCAGTTCTGTGCTGCGGGCAGGGGTGAAGCAGGGGGGAGAGCAGTTAAAGTGTCTCTGAGTCACTTCCATGCTTCCTCTCGGGGTGCGGCGGCCGTTATACTGTCCCCACGAGGGCAGAGAATAGCCAGAGTGCAAACGCCCTCCAGCCACGCTCCTGCTCACCCCCTAGTGGTCCTGGGGAGCCGGGAGTAGCCACAACACAGTGTGCTCTGGCCACGCCTGCGATCTGCCCCCTAACACCCGTGGCTGGAAGCCGGGTGGGTGTGGCGCCCTGACGCCCACCTCACACTGGCTGGGAGGACCCCTGGGCAGGGGGAGTTCTCAGGGGTCAGAGCAGCCTGAAGGAGCCGGAGTGTAACTGAGAATCAGGCCGGGGCCTTAGCAGAATCACCCCGTGCTCATGCAGTGACTCACAGACAGATGCCCAGAGTAACTCCAGTCCCCGGGGCAGACCAATGCCCAAGATGCTGCCTAGCAATGAGAGAGTCAGGGTGACCGGGAACCCCAAAGCGAACTCTGTCACCGTCACCACGCCCATCACCAGGCTGTACGGAACAGGGCTGTGTGCACCGCTGCCCTCTGCTGGCTGGAACCAGCATTGCTCACCTGTGTGTCATAGGCACTATACTGAAACCAGCTTGTGGAGATTCTCTTGACGACGCCACAATCCCTGCAGAATAAGGGGCTGTGGGGAAGGTTGGGCTGGAAAGAAGGGAGTTGTCCCAAACTCTGCTTCTCTTGCCCCCTTCAAGGTTTGGGCCTTCAGCCCCCGACGTTCCCCAGCTCAATTAACGGCCCCCTGGCAGCAGCGCAGTGGGTTGGAGCTGGTCACGAGCTTCCCTCCCCCCTGGCGCTCTCTCTCCCTTGCACACTCACACGCATATTGGCCTGGCCGCACACGCTCGTGCACCAGCCCCCCGCGGCCTCCTGCCCTCCCCCGCCCCACTCCCCCCACCCGCCGTCATCCCCATCCCATGCAGAATCCAGCCTTTGCGGTCACTATTACTGTCAGCCTCGCCCCCTCCCTGCTCACCCCACCTTCGCAGCATCCTCCTCTAACCAGCAGGGGCGGTGGGAAGCCGCAGGGCGAGGTTCCTCTGAACCCACTCCCATCACCCCCTCTCCCTGCCTGCCCCGCAGGCTCCACGCTCTCGCTGTCTCCCCCAGATACACACGGCTCTTGCTGCAGCAGAAGCACCGGGGTTTCGTGCTGCCTGCGCGGGATCCCCCTGGCCCCAGGGGGCCGGTGGCTGCTGCTCAGATCCCAGCGCTGGGGCGTTTCGTGTCGCTCGGTTAATCCTCTTAGGAAAAATGCAGAACCCGGGCTCAGGACGCGGCCCAGCGCCACCGAACTCCTGGTTCCCGGCGTAAGAGCTGCTACGCAGCAGCCCTGCTAGAGAGGAAGGACAGCCCAGTGGCTGGGGCTAGCCAGGGACTTGACAGACCCAGGATCACTGCTGCAGATACTGGGCAAACGCATCGCGGCCCAGCTCCTGAAAAGGTATTTAGGTGCCTAACTCCCCTCGACACCAATGGGTTCTGTGCCTCAGTTTCCTCATCTACGAACTGAGGCGTAAGAGCCCCACCCAACCTCCCAGGGGTGTTGTGGGGATAAATGCGTTAAAGATTCGGAGGGGCTCAGATGGGATGGGGCCCACAGAGGTGCCGTAGCTAGACAGACCCATGCTTGGGGGATTTAATTCTTTCCTCAGGCCAGACTGGTGCCTGGCCTCCTGGGCAGAACAATCCAGAACAGACCAAGAGCCCGTCATCTGAGGAGACCCAGGAGTGGGCTGTTTTGATAACACGATCCAGATTTTCTGTTCCTAATGGGGATTTGCTCACACTTGGTACGTTAATAAAGGTGCTAATCAACTGGAACAGAGTCTGGCAGGGCACCAGGTTGCTTGTGACCAAGTCTAGAGTCTCCTGCTGACGTGCCGGGATCGGTCTCTTAACGCCCGCTGGCCCCGGCTCTGCTTCCCTTCCCCGGCCATTCGATACTGAGGCTGCTGGACACAGACCCACTGTGGCTGTCTCTGGCCTCCGGCAGGGCGGCGAGTTATATGGGCCCGTGGTACCCGGGCTCCAGCAATATTCAGGGCCCGGGGGCCCGGCTCCACCAATGTTTGGGGCCAGGTCTCTCCCACAGTCCCACCTGCTGCCCCTGAGTGTCCCCCGGCCCCCACTTGCTGCCCCCGGGCCCCTGACCCTGCCCTTCGCCTCGGACCTTCCCTTTTCCGGCGGGACCCTCCACCAGCGCAGGGGGCCCCCCTGCTCGCAGTCACCGCTCCTGCTTCACGCTGGGCAAGGGGCAGCCACACCCCCCATCCCCAGGGAGGCTACAGTGAGGGGCAGCAGCAGGGGAGGAGGCGCACATGTGATGGTAGCCCCCCCCTGCCCCCCTGGCACCCACCACAGGGCAGGCGAGGGGGCTTCCTGGACCTGAGAGAGGCCCTAGGAGCACTTGCAGTGACAGTGGTGTGGGGCGAGTGTGCTGCCGGGGGGGCAGAGGACTGGGGGGAGGCGGAGTCCTCCTCTCTGGCCCCAGCCCCGGGGCAGCCTGCCTGCACCCCAAACTCCTCATCCCCAGCCCCTCCCCACAGTCCACACCCCCTGCCCCAGCCCTGAGCCCCTCCCACACCCCAAACCCCTCAT